GATACCTTGTTTATTGGAATACCATTTGCACTTATGTTTCTGGAATAAATGTATTACCTACTACACTATGGGCACTTTTTGTATCTCTCCCATGCGGAGCTATTGATTTTATACAGCCCTCCCCAGGACCTGATCCACTACAGTATCCAGAGGAGGGAGTTCCTGTCACACAGGCTGCTACACCCATCCATCCCTTAAAGGGGACCTCTGGCTGACTGGATCCATTACTACCCAGAAGTACCTGACGTACCACACAACACCCTGAGGGAGGATAATCCTTGGCCTGGCTTTAATGCAGAATTCCATTGCACATCTGGTGAGTGCGTATTCTTACCCCGTTTCAAAGCACAAGCACTGAAGTATCGACGCAGTTGACACTATATATACACGGATTGTCACCTTTGGACTATTGATTTATGATTATTGATTTATGATATTATCCTCCATATATTTATTTATACATTTATTTTTATGGATTGCTCATCATATGAATTGGAGTGTTCACAAATTACTGATTTGGTGTATATATTTTTATTTATTGATTAATATATATATATATTTTTTTTTTTTTGCGGAGTTTTCTTTTCACTTTTTGTTGGAGTGTACACGATATGCTGTTTTGCATGATACACACATTTTTTCACAGCTGAATCAAGTTATTTTGGTGCACTTGTTCATTATTTGCACGGATATTGTATTTATACACGTTTAAGTTAACTATTTGTAGAAGGTAATACACTAATAGTTTTTATTTTTTTGAGGTTTACGAAAAGTGATAGGAGAATCGGAAGCTCTACACTGGATTGAGAAAAAGTTTCTTTTGGACTATTGATTGATTGGACATTTATTTTATATTTTTAATTAATTTGTGTTGGAATAGGAGTGATTTGTATTAGGATTTGATTTATGAGTTTGAAAGTTATGTGGAAGAAAAGGTTGTTTACAATTACAATCTCATTCCTGTCTTGCAATCCTCAGCTGGGAGAGCTACGCAGGAAGGAGGTGAGCTGCCAGGAAGCTGTCAAAGTCTATCCTAGCTGGCAAAAGCATTCCCTGCTTTGTTCATGTGTGGCTGTGGCACGGGAATGTGTCTACTGCCTAGGACAGTTTTCAGGAGGGCTAGCTTGGGTGGATTCGGGCTCTTGCCAGACACACCTGAGCTCATTCCTAGAGTGTACTGATCCCCAATGACCCTACTTTTCAGTCCATCCAAGGTGCTTGTGGATGCCATGTGGGATTGCTGGCTAGGATCAGCATTAGAACAGGAAGATCTTCCACAGCAGTTCCCATGTGCGGCATCAGGAAATCCCTTTTGTGCCGTCCTGACCCCTCTGTCCTGCTCACCCCTGTAAACTGCTCTTCATTCTACTAACCTCTATATGCTACCCAACACACTACTGACCTTGCACGCCGCCCTAACTACTACTGCCCCCTGGACACTCTACTACATACTACTTACACTGGCCAGAACTGACCAGAGCAGACAGCTAGGCTAGCATTGAGGCCAGCCATGCCTGACACTAGTTGAACAAGTCAGCCTACAGTACCAGATGTTCTGCCTTCATGATGGACTGCATCAGATTTGTGGGGGTGACCAATTATATTAATATTATTGTAATGACCACAAGGTGTTGATTTCTGATCAGATTCTGAATATTGTTTGTGGATTATGTCAGTAGTATTTCTCACATTTCTTTTCAGTTTAGCATATTTTATTTACATTTTCAGGTGTGTTTTTTTTTTGCATGGAAATATTCACTGTATACTTACAGTTCATTTACACGAGTGTGAGATCTTACAATCTGCTATACAGTGTATGGGGCAGCCTGATTGGATACAAACTGAGTGGATTGCGTCGGTAGGCTCTTACATTATAACATTTTGTTAAATTTAAGGAACGCTGTACTGTGATTGCATGATTCAAAATGTAACATATGGCAAGCTTTAAGTCACGTACATCTGCCCTAACATGTGCCATTATTGAATTTTGACAGCTCTGCTTCCTTTAAGATGGCTAGAAATAGTCTTTTTAATCCTTGTTAGATTTATGCATAGTGCCCTTCATGTAAAAAGTGCATCCTTTGAAAAATCACAGTATTGTTCCCATTATCAGACATCTCATTTCTTCATTTTCAAATGAACTGGGAAGGCAATACAAGGAAATTACATTTCTTCAAATATATATTGACGTTTTCAACCCATGAATAAGATCTTAGCTGCATGCCTTTGTATGAAGTACTTGGTATCACTGAAACAAAACCATTTGTTTTGCTTTCTTCTTGCTGAGCTGAATGTACACACAAATTGATTTTTGTGTGGTCAAGAATAGCTCTTGGTTTTACAAGCAGCACACCTAGGGAGGTTTGTCAAATGGAAGAGCTGCAGAGAGCCGACAGTATTTGGATGTGTAGTACAGTATGTAAAGCTGATTAAAAAGGGGGATAAAAAAAAAGGAATCAAAAAAAGGTTATCCCAGATTTCTGGAAGCATGATCCCATAGCAATGTTTTTACTAAAATAAGCATCCGATTGAATGTCTGACTTAACAAGCTTTGTGTCTGTGCACCATCAGAGAAGCAAACAAAAAAAGAACAAGGATACACGCACTAAATAGGTGACCCTAAAATAGCTAGATTTAATAAAAAAATAAATAAATCACCAAACAACTTCAGGGCCGATTCATACCAGATGCGTTGGGGGATTGCATTGGCCATCTATTCCAGCACAGTCCCACCACATGACAAGGCAAAATGCCTACTCGCCTCTGTGCCCAGTTCACACCACTGTGCATGAGTGTAAAAAACACTTTACGGTTGAAGACAAGGGCACAACTTATTTTGGTATGTCAGTGAGCCCTACTACTGGCAGCAGTGATACCCCAGATCCTGTTATATGGCCTGCCTACAAGGGCCAATTTGTTCAGCCAGTTCTAAGCTAAACTTAATATACTGTATAGTATATATACATTTTATAGATGGAATATGCTTTGGTAGACATTTTGACAAAAAGGATGAAACAACTCATGTATGGAAAAAGTAATTTTTTTTATACATAAACACAATTATACACATTGGTCGCTACAGCTGTATTTACCAATTAAACAAACATAAGACCACAGCTACAGTCAAGATTTGATTTTCTAACCTACAGAAAATGAGCTCTTAACCTGGAATCTTAATGCTCATGCACACTGTCGCCTGGGGATGTACAACATAAAGTGTGGGTGTATTTCCACATCTAAAAACAGTAAAAGGCACTACACTGAAAATACAAGTTGACACAGTAAAATTCATGCAGGCAGCAATTTGTTTTAGCACACTACACTGCAGAGCAGAGAAACAAATGGGTCACACTGGATTGTATGATAATGTCTCCCTGTGATAGATTAGGTTTCTAACTACTGGACCTCTAGAAAGTTTTACCCCCTTCATGACCAGGCAATTTTTTTTATTTTTTTTTTTACTATTCAGCACTACTTTAACTGGCAATTGCTCAGTCATGCAACACAGATCCCAAATTAAATTTGTATCTGTTTTTCCCCTCACACAATTAGATTTATTTTGTTGGTATGTGGTCACCACAGGGTTTTCTATTTGATATATAAATGAAAAAAAACAAAAAAAAAAAAAAAAACAAAAAACGACCATAAAATGTATTCTGCTACGTCTTCGGTAAAAACAAATCCAATAAGTGTAAAATAATTGGTTTGTGTGAAAGTTATAGGATCTACAAACTATTCTATATATATTTGAAAATTGATCCTTCTGTACTGATGGCATACCTCATTTCTTGAGGCCCTTAAAATGCCAGGCCAGGAAAGTACAAATACCCTCCAAATGACCCCTTTTTGGAAATTAGACAGTCTGAGGTATTTAGTAAGAGGTATGGTGAGTTTTTTTGCAGTTGTAATTTTGTCACAATTTTTTGGAAAATGACGACATTATATATTCTCCCCCCCCTAACAATTCCCCGCTGGCAGGGGAGCCAAGAGGAGGATGATTCAGGGCTGCTTTGTGAAAAACCATTGTACAGAGCAAGTATGACATGTTTGTTATTTTGAAAAAAAATCTGAACTTTTAGTATCACTTTAAGCTACTCACTGTTAGTTATAAGCAATATACATGGACAGTGATAATTGTATCATTTACTACTGCTGTAGCAAAACAATCACAGAAATACATGTTTACTGGCACAGGTAGTATTTTAGATAACTATCAGTAGCAGTTTATGAGAATGATTAGGACTACATCGAGACCATTCACTGGAAATTTTTTATTATATGTATATTCAGATCAATAGGATACTCATAAGCTTTTTTCCAATATAAAACTTCATCCAGACCAGTTCTAATACGATTAGATTTGAACGTACCTGTTGAACAACTCTACTTTCTGCACTTTAAAAAACAAAAAAAACTTGAATAATGACACTTTTGCATGTTGCGGCACTAAAGCTGAACCAAAAGTACAGCCAACACCATATAGTTTTGATGCGAAGGCCTGCACCTGAGCTGACCCCTTTTTTATTGGGCATTCAGATATTTTGTTATTGGGGCCAGCATCATTCTCTACAGTATATGTGAAAAGGATCTGGTTTAAGCACTGCTACCACCCATGCCTGAAGTAACAGAGTTTAGTCCTAGTCAACCCTAAGTGGCTATGTAAATTCCAATAAATTCTAAGGCAACATCATAATATATTACAGCACGATATGATATTTCAGTCTGGTAACTACTAAGGATGCAATTTCCTGTATTAAACTAATCATGTATTCTCTTTCCCCAGAATGTCTTCATCTTCCACTAGTTCCCAGTTCCATCTTTATTCTTGTATGACACTCTCCTAAAAACTCAACTCTTGATGAACTTGCTCCAGTGGCAGGGTTTAAGTTCAATAAAGAAAGGTTAAGATAGCAAAACAAGAGAAATGGCAAGATGGAAAGTGATTCAACCTAGAAAAAGTCAAGACGTCCTGGTAATGATCAGCATAGCACTGCATCTTTTCAAGAAATTCCTCTTCTGCTTTTCTGCAGGAGTGACTGTCTAAGTGCATTAATCTTCTGGTCAAGTTCCATCAAAGAATATCTCTGCAATGTTGAAAAAGAACAGGTAGAAAATTAAAACAAACCCATTTTAAAATAGAACTATAGGCAAACGGCTTACTACATAATTTCAACATGTACAGTACACGAGAACATTTCAAATTGTCTTTAGGCCATCCTAGAATGGCAAAAGATCTGCTCCAGGTGAGTGCCGAACCTGTATAACCCCTCCACAGACACAGGTGCTAGCCTAATCCGCGATCACAGATCCAATGGAAAAACAGAATGGTTGGCCACACAAACTGCAATGTGGTTGATGAAATCTTTTACATGCAATATGATAGAAACATGACAGCTCCAAGACAGGACAGAGGAGCAGTAGACGCGTTTCACACGAACACGTGTGGCCAACCATTCTATTTTTCCATTGCGATCCTGGAATGCTCACCTCTTCAGGGAAGCCCACCCTGTCTATCTAAAGCTAGACTTTTACCTTGTCCTTCAACTCAACCCCTCACAGGTACAATCTTTTGTATCACGTGCCCCTCCATTTTAGATTGTAAGCTCTCCAGAACAATGGCCTCCTAACCCTCTAGTCTTGCTGTGTATTGTAACAGTATTATCTCCCTTTATGTTGTAAAGAGCTGTGTAAACTGTTGGAACTATATAAATCCTGAATGATAATTTTTACAGAACTCTGTAATTTTTTCCACCACACTTACAATTCACCCTCTTGCTGCTAACACTAGAACAAAGCCCTGCGTTTTCTTTATTTCATGCAACTAAAAGCATAAAACTTGGATCTTCCACCATCTGATTAAATCATAAGCAGTACACCTTTTGAAGTCATTAAGTTTTTTTTTTTCCCACTTTCGAATGGCATTACAGCACTGCAATGAAGTAGACACTATATTGTGCATTCAGTAAGGTTGGTAATTCATTATGAATGGGCTGCTAATGCACTGCAATGGACTAAAAAGTGCACAATACTTTTCTGTTAACAGCACACAACAAACAGGGAATGTGCGTTATGATGCACAACCATGCATTTACTTTGGTCACTATTGCATGGTGTGTTGGGGGTGCCATTCACAAATTGGACTGTTGACTTGACATGTAAAATCCTCATCTTAAAATACATCACGGGACACAGGATTGGCCAATTCTTAGATCATGGATTGTACTTCACCTCTAGGTGATTGGACACTGGCAAAAATAAAATTGAAAACCCAGCCTGGCCAATACTTCATTTTTTGCTAGTGTCCTTAGGTGGAGTTTCCCAGGCCTTCAGTTTTGTAGCATTACAGGAGATACAGTGCATATAAAAAGTCTACACACCCCTGTCAAAATGTCAGGTTTCTCGGATGTAAAAAATGAGACAAAGATAAATAATTTCAGAACTTTTCCCACCTTTAATGTTACCTATAAATGGTTTAAAAAATGACAAAGATAAATAATTTCAGAACTTTTCCCACCTTTAATGTTACCTATAAATGGTTTAACTCAGTTGAACAACAAACTGAAATCTTTTAGGTGGAGGGAAGAAAAAATAAGAAACTAAAATAATATGGTTGCATAAGTGTGCACACCCTTCAACTAATACTTTGTTGAAGCACCTTTTGATTTGATTCCAGCACTCAGTCTTTTTGGGTACGAGTCCATCAGCATGGCAGTATGATGTGCAGTGTTTTTGCACCAAACATATCTTTTGGAATTATAGCCAAAAGGTTCAACCTTACTTTCCATCAGGCCATAACAGATTTCCCCACATGCGTTTTTGCAAAACTTAGCCGGGGTTGGATGTTTTTCTTTGTAAGAAAAGGCTTCCGTCTTGCCACTCTACTGCATAGCCCAGCCATACAGTGAAGGAAATAAGTATTTGATTCCCTGCTGATTTTGATCCTGAAGGTTTGCCCACTCACAAAGAAATGATCAGTCTAAAATTCGAATGGTAGGTGTATTGTAACAGACAGAAGAGCAACAAAAAAGTCAAAAGAAATGCCTGTCTAACAAATTATGCAGTTATACAGTTTATAGGCCACATTAAAAAGGTGGAAAGACTTCTGTTTAAAATGTCAGGTTTCTGTGATGTAAAAAAAAATGAGACAAAGATAAATCATTTCAGGAGTGTGTAGACTTTTATATCCACTGTATCAGACACAGGGGGGAGGGCCCTGTGATGTACTGAAGTCCTGAAAAGGATTTTACAGGCAAGTAAACAAAAATCCTTTATCATACAGCACAGGAAAAAGGTTTGGCAAATTCTTAGAACAAAAGGATGTCCAAAATCAATCCCATGAGTGGTGGAGAAAATAGCAAATGGCAGCTAACAGTCACAAGAACAAGGGAGGTGAGCTGATGAATCCACCCAGCAATGGTGGAAGGAGAAGCAGCATCGCCCTCTAGACAAGAGATATTACAGCCAACTCACAGCCAGAACCACATGCCAACAATGGAAAGCAATCTCCCTAGGGTGTTTAGAGACAGAAAGATGTAACACTAGTTAACTGTGCTATGTAGCACAAGGTATGGCTCCTTTCAAGATAGGGCTAGTAACTTGGAATGGTACAAGCTCGAGTAAAAGCAGGAAGGCAACCTTATGAGTAAGGTATGGAAGAGGAACATCTCCCATGGGCTCAAATGGCTGCATGGAAGAACAATGCAAATAGCCCCCCTCTGCAAAAGCCCTCACCAAGGAATGAGAAGCAAGATGTCTCTGAAATAGGAATGCCAAGCCTGATGAGATCTGACCCTTATTGGCACCAGTGTTAATTTTGACATCTAATTTCCATTTACCGTAGTTTTTTTAATCAGTCTTTTGGCTAAAATGCCATTTTCGTTTTATTTTTATTTTAATCATCTAAAATGGTTTTAGTCTTATTTTAGTCGAGTAAAATCTCCAGTACATTTCAGTCGACTAAAATCAAATGGGTTTAGTTAAATTGTAAGCATTTCTCTAGAATTTCCAAACTGATTATATACTCCTGGAGTAAAAATCTAACATTATTTATGGTAGTAAGATTTGAACATACACTTTTACTACAGACACAGATTTAGCCAATTGTGATACCTAACCAGTGTTAATTTTGACGTTAAATTTTGTTTTAATCATAGTCTTAACTAAAATGGCATTTTAGACTTAGCCTAACTTACTCATCAGTGTTAATTTAGTTGCCGAAAATATCTTCGTACAAGAAATTAACACCATTTTAAAAAGGATTTGTCCGGACCTGACTAGAGAAAACTCATCTCACAGAATACTTCCTGGGGTGAAACTGTATTGACTCACCAAACAAGCATAGTACATATTCCACATGTAGTGGCAGAACTTGGTTCTGGGCATAGTCTTGGAGTTCAAGGACTGGGATATAAAAAAGAATCTTCGATTCGAACAGAAAAAGACTTTGGATCTGCCAACTGGTTTCTTTTTTAGAGGCAAAAGAATGCTTTTGCCCCAGTAATCTTGTGGGTAAAAGGTATCCAAGCATTACCGAATAAACCTTCACCCTCAAAGGGCATCTTTTCAAGCTTTTTTTTGTTGGGGAGTTCTGACGACCAAACACTTGAGCCATGGGATGTGTCTCATGGGACTCACCAAACAAGCATAGTACATATTCCATATGTAGATCTTGTGGAAAGATATCTTCAAGCCTTTGCTTCAACAGTGAAGTGGTTACATCCAGGAGCTGTGAAGCAGGATAGTACACGGGTGCCAGAGACAGGAGATCTGGATGGTCTGGCATGTTAAGCAGATGCTACGTCTCAGTACCGCCTCCCTGCTGGGCCAAATTGATGCAATGTGAATTATCAAAATAGCTTTCCTTTCTTTCCTGCAAAGCAAGCGAGTAAATAGCTTGAGAGGCAGAAAGGTGTAAAATCAGATAGAACTTATCCCATGGAGACAGAAGGGAATCCACAGTGAAGACCAAAAGTTCCCTTGTTCTAGCAACAAACTTGCCCTGTTGAACTTCGAGGCCCCCCTGAATGCATGCCCCCATTTGGCTTGGGTACGCTGTAAAGATTAGCGTAAACACTTTGGAACCTTTCCTCTTTTGGAACAGGGGTAGGGCCCCCCTTCAGAGAGGTGCTGTTCCAAGGCAGCCAGAAGATCTGCTTTCCTGCAGGGAAAGAGCATGAAGCAAGGCAAGACACAACTCCAGCTTGCAGCACTTGGGCACAACGTATTGGACCCAATGGTCCGAAATATCCCAGAGCTGCAAAGGCTAACAAAATGTTCCCTCATTTGAAGTGGGGAAATCCCTTCACTAGGAAAAGGACTTATCAGTTTCCCGCTTTAGAGGATTTTAGAGTCCAGTTCTTCTGGAACTGGGTTCTGGGCATAGTCTTGGAGTTCAAGGACTGGGATATAAAAGAAAAAAAAAAACAAAACTTTTATTCGAACAGAAAGACTTTGGATCTGCCAACTGGTTTCTTTTTTAGAGGCAATAGAATGCTTTTGCCCACAGTAATCTTGTGGATAAAAGGTATCCAAGCATTACCGAATAGACCTTCGCCCTCAAATGGCATCTTTTCAAGCTGTTTTTTTTTTTTTTGGGAAGTTCTGACGACCAAACACTTGAGCCATGGGATGTGTCTCATGGGACCCAGCCGGGGAAGCTTTTGAAAAACACACACACCTCCAAGTTCCTAAGCCATATGTTTGACGCAGACAAACAGGGCCCCTTTGTACCAATAGTAGGCTGCATTGCTGCACCCACTAGGGAAAAATACACCTTAAAGAGTGCTTGAAAAACCCTTTTAGACAAGAAGTGTAGACACCAGAATGGTCAGGGTCCTGTTCAATGATGAAACTGATCTACCGCCAGGAAATTCCATTCATTGCAGAAGTCTTCTTCCATGGGTCAAAACAATTTGGATGGTGTTTCCAGTTTTGTGTTTAGAAACTGGAAAGGTCTCAGTAGGCATGAGAGCTCTCTAAAATCATATACTGGAGACCTTGAACAAGGCTGACTCAGTTTGTTAAAACGGAAACAAAATAAGCAACTCACAAAAGGTAGCAAAATATGGAGCCTGTCAAACACATCCCGGTACTGATCTCTTGTGGATGGAGGGCAGATCACTCCATTCCAGGAAACAGCCTCACCACTGCTGGCCTAATGGAAGAAACCAGGCTCAAAACTAGGAAGACAGGGATCTCTGCAGGCCAGACCAAAAGTGATGCCAGATGCTGCTGGAGGGCAAAGGGGGTGTGGCCAATAGCCTTGAGAAAGAACCTAGGTGGCTCCAAAATGCATAGCCATGCCCCTTTGCCCTCCAGCAACAGTTGACATGTGTTTATGACAGGAGCCATATTTTGCTACCTGTGAGAGTTGTTTATTGTCCGATTCTTCTCCCTCCAAGGCCTACAATAGATAGATAGAGGAAGCTCCCAGCAAAAAAAATTTGGCAGGGAGGCTGGCACTTACACTTCACATCTGTGCCTTGATATCAGCCAACTGCTCCACGATGACTGACGTGGCAGCAGACAATTTCTCCTTAGATACCAAAGAAGCAAAGGAATATGCACCAGACTGAGTAGGGGGAAACCCCAAAGCGGACAAGGACTCTGCATGAGACCCCTTAGGAGGGCTAATGTTGACGGAGCTCCCCAAGGGAATCTTCGTACTCCATGTCCTAGCCCTGTTCAATCAGGGTGCCAGCAGAGCTCAAAGTCTCCGCCCCTTGTGTCTAAGATCCACAATGTGCTGCAATGCATGGGTAACCAGAGGGTTCACTCCTGACCAAGACTCAAGTAAACAGGGGGGAAACCTTGCCATGTCCAACCCATGAAGGCAGCAGAGCTCAGCAGCCACCAAAATTCCTGTGCTGTATGTTGCTGAAGTCAGGGGGAGCAGAATGAGAGGTAGCTGAATGATGTCTCTGCCTATCAGAAGCCTGAGAGGAGGCACCCAAGATAGAGTGCGCATGTACAAGACCCACTAGGCCCAGAAAAAAATTGCGCCAGTATTAAAATTCAGTGACACCTGATTGGCCATTCTCTTCCTGCAACTGTAGGGGAAAAAAAAAAAAAAACAAAAACTCTGGTGTCAGAGACCTAAGTGGGGTCACTGTTCTCCTATGCCCCAGAAGGCGAGAACAGCACACTTGGGCTTCTCAGTCAAGGGCATATACTAGTCACATGTTTTTGATGCAGAGTGCCAGGTCAATCCTTGCCTCGCCATGTCCAGGCTTACACCAACCCCCACCCCCCTTCCTGCAGGGGTTTTCAGAATCTGGACTCCACCGCCCTGGACCTGTAGAGCACCCCACATAATTCAACGCGATTCAGCTGTGTGCCGAGGAAAGTGTTTCCCATTGGATCCAGTGCCAGTTCGCAACCTGCAAACCATCCCCGCTCTGCTTTCCTGTGGGGTTCAGATAAAGTCCCTCAAGGCAACCGGTCTGGATATATTGCTGGGTGAGGCAACCAGGTACTGGATAATCAGGAGTAGGTAGAGTATAAAAAAGTTCACTCAGTATTGACACACCACCTAAGGACATTAGCAAAAAAAAAACAAAAAACACACAAACCAAAAAGCATGGGCAGGTCCGGATTTTCAGCTTTGCTTTTGCCAGTTTTCAATTACCTGGAGGTGGGGCATAATATATTGGTCTACGAATTAGATCCTGTGATGCAAAATGCATGCTGCCACATCACATAGGCATCAATGGCTCCTTAATAGTGTTTTATTTAATTCAGTAATCCATTTATTAAAATATTTATCAGTCCATAATTCTATTTTAGACATATAACAAAATAAAAATATTTATTATGCTTCCATACTGTACAGTCTGTGAAACAAAGTCTTCATTCCATCCCACCCTTATTGAACATTCCTTGCAGATACTGGATGTTGTTGCCTTTACTTCAAGAGATACTAGAACATTTTTTTATATAAAAAAAAAAACAAAAAAAACAAACCAACAAGCCACGTTTTATTTATGCAAGAAGGGCAAAAGCATGTAGCAGGCATCCAAGTTTAAATGTAGTCATTATTTGTATATATTTATTAAAATCAGAAGTACACCTAAAGCTTTTTTGGCTATACTTCTCCTATGGATCACAGGGGTGCAGTTCGGTGTGAACTTCTGTGACCAGTTTTCAGCCAAAAGCAGGCTAAAGCCTGCTGTCGGCTGGCATCACAGAGCTGGTCCAGGCTCTGAAAAGATCTGCCAAAAGCTGAACCAGCTGCTCCCACCTTCTCCACAACCCAGCACACCAGTCACAGATCTCTGCTCAGAGTGGAGGGGGACAACTGAGCGATCAGCGGTGTTTGATCGCTCACTTCTCAGCACAGAGGCGGAGGGAGACAGATGCTGCATCCACCTAGGTAAGGATAATTTTTTTTTTTTTTTAAGTTTATACTTCTTTTAACTCCTAGACCTTAATTTACTGAAAGAGCAGAGCATTATCACTTTCAAATTGAACTTTAACTTTTCAAAAGGAATACCCAATCATGTGCAAGGACATGATTGGACAATTGAATTTTCAATTTGCAAAGGGAATTTGTCTTGATTTTAGGATTGGATATTCTTTGCAAAGTGAATTTTCACTAGAAATCAAATCAAGCCTACAGCCCTTAATCTTATGTATCTATTCAGATGATTATTCCCTCCCTTCACATGTATTCCTCCTTTTTGACCCAACAGTCTTTGTTCACATAAGACTGCCTATTCAACCTCTGTTGGGACACTTGCATCAAAAATAAACATCACCCCAAAAAAGATATTTACCGGAGAAGGAAGGACTTTCTTTCGCTTATTGGACATATCCTAAAATAAAAATAAATGGTAAAGATTCTCATCTTGTTCACAGAGAAGTGGTGCACAAATACGGCAGCGATTCGAAAAGGCAATTCAATGCAATAAAAGAACACAGTCAGATTATATAGCTGAAAATGGGCACAGAAACATTAAAGTATGTTTAATTTCAAAGTCAGAAAATATAAAACAAGGCTTTGACTGCTACTCACACATTCTGAGTGGAATGCACAAAACAAACCACATTAGAATAAATCTGAATTTCATTGTCCGATGTGTAGATATGTCTGCCTACAGTGGGATAATGTATAAAATTATAGGACTCCGACTAATAGCATAGTGCAGCAGCTAACAATTGCTTGTCTACTGTGTCTTCATTGACTGCAAGCAGCAGCAGGGAATGGAACATCACGTCCCAGAAGCACATAGTAATAGAAAAGCAATTTTGTGTTAGAAGTGAATGCAGCTTTAGGCAAGGAAAGGGGGGGAAAAAAAAAAAAAAAAAAAAAAAGGGGACCTTTAACCATGCATGACACTGCCCCATTTCAGAAAGGTAACAGTTTGGGGCCAAAATGCATTACATGATAGCATAAGTCCATGTTTGTTTTCCCTTTAGTTAGTTTGGGCAAAGCTGGCTCAAATGATCAATTATCTTTACTAATTGATGAGCCCAATTGTCAGCACTGTATAACTATGTAGCATCAGCTACATACAGTGTACAGTGCTGTGTTCCATCAGTGGAATGGCATCTGCAAAATCAAGCTGGCCTGAACACTGCTCAGTCTTTCACAGCCTTGTAGATTTTATCAATGAATACAAGCCATCTGACTAGTAGAGACAGACACTGTGGCATCATTGACCCACCACTCCAACTCAGCCCATCTAAGGGAGCCCTGTACTCACTGATAAAAATACAAGGCTTCCTATGAAAGGCTGAGCAGCACTCTATTTTATTCCAGTGCTGTATACTGTATGTAGCTGATGCTACATAGTTTATACAATGCTGACAGCAAGCACATCAACTTGTAAAATAAATATTTAGGCCAGCTTGGCCCAAACTATTTAAAGTGAAAGTAAACATGAAGTCAGGCTTCAAAGCAGGAATTTTTGCTTACCTGTAAATTCTTGATCTTTCAGTACAGTGCAGGACTCATTTTCATAGACCATGGGTTGTATGCAGACTACTTTCAGGTAATTGGACAATGGCAAAAAAAAAAATATGCTGGGACTGTGCCTGAAGCATACTGTCTACTCAGGATATGTTTTTTTTTGGCAAGCAATAAAAAGCAATTTACAGATAAGCTGAAATTATTATCTTAAAGGGGTAGTATTTCATAAAGTCATTTTAACCCTGGACCTACAGGTAAGCTTACAATAAGCCTTGCCTGTATCTACAATGAATTTCTCCAAAACATGCACCTTTTAGGAGATATTCACAATTTCAGCAGCTGGTGATGTCACCAGCACATGCGCACTGCATGGAGGGCACACACAGTGTTCAGAGAGCTGTGCCACAATCATGACTCCTGTGTGCATGTGCAGGAGTGCCGTCCTTGCCGCCCAGACACTCAAATGGCTAGAGTACGAAGTTCCAGAAGACAGCCGCGGTGAAGATGGAAGCCCTTGCAGCGGCGGAGGGCTTCATTTGAAAGGTAGTCTGCCATAATGTGCTAATATGTGCTGCATACTAACATATTATGGCATAAACACAGGAGGACAGCTGATTTTTTTTTTTTTTCACCCTGACTTTTCCACCACTTTAATCATACAGTACAGGACTCATTCATAGACCATGTGATATACCCAAGCAATAAAATGAGCGGTAGGCAACAACATAGTAAAAAGGAACTGCCAACAGAACTGGAACAAAACACTCATCGCCACCAGGAAGGCAGATCTTCCAACAGAATATCTCTAACTGGTTTAAAGATGTGTGTTTTATTTTAAGATTAAGAACCCAAAAACAAAAACCTTGGACAGACAAAAAAGGAGTGGCTGTGGACGTAGCATACTTGGATTTTGCAGAAGCGTTTCAAACAGTTCCCCACACACAGCTAATGTGCAAGTTAAAATCTACAGACTTGGAAAAATGAGTTTGTACATGGATAGAAAACTGGCTAAAAGACTGCATTCAGAGAGTAGTGGTTAATGATTCATATTCTGAATGGTCTACGGTTGTTAGTAGTGTACCCCTAGGTTCAGTGTTGGGACCCTTACTTACCTTTTAATAGATTTATAAATGATATAGGGTTTGTGATTAAAAGTACCATTTCAGTGTTTGTAGAGGACACCAAGCTTTGAAGTGGAATAACGTCCTTAGAGTGTCTCCAACTTATAAGCCGACCTCAACGTACTGTTTTATTGGACAACTATTTGGCAAATGAGGTTTAATGTTGATAAATGTAAAGTTATGCAATTGGGGGCTAAGAATATGCATGCATCATACATACTAGGGGGAGTACAACTGGGGGAATCAATGGTGGAGAAGGATCTGGGGGTTCTGGTAGATCATAAGCTTAATAATGGCATGCAATGCCAAGCTGCGGTTTCCAGAGCGAGCAAAAGTCTCTTGTATTGAAAGGTATAGACTCCAGAGAGCGATTTAATTTTATCCCGGTACAAATTAGTAAGACCTCATCTGGAGTATGCAGTTCAGTTTTGGGCACCAATTCACAAAGAATATCGGAGAACTAGAGAAAGTGCAGAGAAGGGCAACTAAAAATTGATAAGAGGCATGGAGGAGCTCAGCTATGAGGAAAGATTAGAGGAACTTAATTTATTCTCATTTAAGAAGTGAAGATTAAGAGGGAATATATTCAGCATGCATAAATACATAAAAGTGGTCCATATAGTTAACTCAGTGTAGACGTCATTTTAAAAAGGTCATCACAGAGGACAGGGGGGCACTCTTTACGTCTGGAGGAAAATAAATTTAACCTCCAAATACAGTGTGTTTTCACAGTAAAAGCTGTGAAAAATGTGGAATAGACTCCCTCAAGGAGTTGGTTCTGGCCAGCTCAGCGGATTGCTTTAAAAAAGGCCTGGATTCTTTCCTAAATGGACATAATATAACAAGATACTAACACTTATTGTAAAATTGATCCAGGGAATATCTGTCTGCCTCTGGGGGGGAACAGGAAGGATTTTTTTTTTCCCCTGCTGGAGCAAAGTGGATCATGCTTTGCAGGGTTTTTGCCTTCCTCTGGATCAACTGTAGGCATAGGAGTGTGTGTAATAAATATATGTACACACACACACACACACACACACACACACACATATACATACACATACACATACACACACACGTGTTCAATATATCAGCAGTGTGTTGAAAAAAGTGAATAAAGCTCAAAATCCTTCTAACAGCTTTTATTTCCATACACACAAATGCATTGGGAACACTACACATTCTATTCCAAATCAAAACATGAAGAAAAATATCAAATTTGTGTTCCTCTTAAAAAAAAAAAAAAAAAAAAAAAAAAAAAAAAAAAAATTGAAGAAAAGTGAATATTAGACTGTTCAAAAAAAAAATAGCAGTGTTTGTATTCTTTACAAACTCAAACATTCACTATATAAACTGAAAAATGTTTGAAGATTTTGCTTTCCTTTGAATCACTTAATGAATATTTAGTTGTATAAGCACTGTTTCTGAGAACTGCTGTACATCTGTGTTGCATGGAGTCAACCAACTTCTGGCCCCTGTGAACAGGTATTCCAGCCCAGAATGATTGGACTACATTCCACAGTTCTTCTCTATTTCTTGGTTTTGCCTCAGAAACTGCATTTTTGATGTCACCCCACAAGTTTTCTATTGGATTAAGATCCGGGGATTGGGCTGGCCACTCCATAACGTCAGTCTTGTTGGTCTGGAACCAAGATGTTGTACTTTTACTGTTGTGTTTGGGGTCATTGTCTTGTTGGAACACCCATTTCAAGGGCATTTCCTCTTCAGCATAAGGCAGCATGACCTCTTCAAGTATTCTGATGTATTCAAACTGATCCATGATCCCTGGTATGCGATAAATAGGCCCAACACTGTAGTATGAGAAACATCCCCATTCAGCACGTCTTTTTTTCAACAGTGGGACTTTGCGGGGGCTTCTTGCAGATAGCTTGGCTTCACATAGGTGTCTTCTAATTGTAACAGTACTCACAGGGAACTTTACACCTTCTTTGATCTTCCTGGAGCCGATTGTTGGCCGAGTCCTTGCTATTTGGGCTATTCTTCTATCCATTCGAATGGTAGTTTTTCGCTTTCTTCTACGTCGTTCAGGTTTTGGTTGCCATTTTAAAGCATTTGCGATCATTTTAGCTGAGCAGCCTATCATTTTCTGCACTTCTTTATATATTTTCCCCCCTCCAATTAACTTTTTAATCAAAGTACGCTGTTCTTCTGAACAATGTCTGCAATGACCCATTTTCCTCAAAATTTCAGAGAGAAATGCACTGTAACCAGCATGTATAACATTTGCTGCCTTCCTTCCTTAAATAAGGGCAATAATTGCCACCTGTTTTTCAAAGAATGAATGACCTCACTAATAGAACTCCACACTGCTATTATTTTGAACATGCCCCTTTCAATTAGTGATTCAATTACACAGAATCAGCAGCATGCATGTCATGACTGTTGGGTCTGTTGGATTTCTATTACTCTACTACACCTGCTAGTAAATTATTTGCAATGTAGAAATATCATTTCTACCAAAAACAGTGATTGATCAGGTTAGTGATGTCTGACTGCTATTATTTTGAACACAACTGTATGTATATATATATATATATATATATATATATATATAATTTTGTTTCCTTTTAATTGGTTGAACTAGATGAACTTTTCAACTTCTTTCAACCAGACTATGTAACTATATATACAAAGGTGTGTTAATAGTGTGTCTAAAAAAATTGAGCAAACCTTAAAATCCTTATAATAGCGTTTATTTTTATACATGCAAATGCACTGGGAACACTGCAGTCTATTCCAAATCAAAATATGAACAAAAATGTTTAACAAATTTGTTATTACTTTACAGAAAGCGAAAAAAAGGAATGTTAGGCTGTTCAAAAAAAATAGCAGTGTCTGCATTTTTCTTTTCAAACTCAAACATTTACTGTATCAACTGAAAAATGCTTGAAGATTTAGCCTTCTTGTGAATCACTGATTATTAATATTATACAGGATTTATATAGCGCCAACAGTTTGTGCAGCGCTTTACAAAATGAAGGTAGACATTACAGTTAAATACAAAATTGGTACAAGAGGAAATAAAGGGTCCTGACCGTTAGAGCTTACAATCTAGGAGGAAGGGTTGAGTGATACAAAAAGGTAATAGCTGTGGGGGGGGGGGAATGAGCTGATGGAGGAAATAAATGGCAGTTTACCAGGTAGAAGCAGGAAAGGCTTCTTTAAAAAGAGAAAAGTTTTCAAGGATCGTCTAAAGGTGGATAGATTAAGAGACAGCCGGACAGATTGGGGTAGGGAGTTCCATAGGATGAGAAAAGCTCGGGAGAAGTCCTGGAGCCGAGCATGGGAGGAGGGGACACGGAAACTAGAGAGCAGAAGGTCTTGGGAGGATCGAAGAGAGAGGCTTGGTTGATATTTTGAGACCAGGTTGGTGATGTAGGTGGGGCAGAGTTGTAGATGGCTTTGTAAATTGTTGGTATTTTGAATTTTATTATTCTTTGGGCGAGTGGACGCCAGTGGGATTGGCATATTTAGTTGTATAACCACTGTTTCTGATAACGAATTCTCATCTGTGTTGCATGGAATCGACCAACTTCTGGCACCTGTGAATAGAGATTCCAGCCCAGGATGATTGCACTACATTCCACAATGCCTCTGTATTTCATGGTTTTACCTCAGAAACAGCATTTCTTATGTTTTCTATTGGATTAAGATCTGCAGATTTAGCTGGCCACTCCATAACATTATTCTTGTTAGTCTGGAACCAAGATGCTGTTCGCTTACTGGTGTGTTTGGGGTCGTTGTCTTGTTGGAACACCCATTTCAAGGGCATTTCCTCTTCAGCATAAGTCAACATGACCTCTTCAAGTATTCTGATGTATTCAAACTGATCCATGATCCCTGGTATGAGATAAATAGGCCCAACACCATAGTATGAGAAACATCCCCATATCATGATGCTTGCGCCACCATGCCTCGCTTCTTCACAGTGTACTGTGGCTTGAATTCAGTGTTTGGGGGTCGTCTGACAGTGTCTGGCCCCTACACCCAAAAACAACAACCTTGGTTTCATCGGTCCACAAAACGTTGCACCATTTCTCTTTGGGTCAGTTAATGTGTTGAAATTGTAACCACTTCAGCATATGTCGTTTTTCAACAAATGGGAATTGCGTGGAGCTTCTTGCCAACACATAGGCATCTTCTAATTGTTACAGTACACACAGGTTTAAGGTCTCAATTTAGACCTCCTTTGATCACCCTGGAGTTGGATTATTGGTCTTTGCCATCTTGGCTATTCTTCAATCCATTCAAATTGTAGTTTTCTGTTTTCTTCAAATGTCTGTCTTTCTGGTTTTGGTTGCCAATTAAAAGCATCTGAGATCATTTTAGCTGAGCAATCTATCGGTTTTTGCACTTTGTATATTTTTCCCTTCCCTGATCAACTTTTTAATTAAAGTACGCTGTGCTTCTGAACAATGTCTGGAACAACCAATTTTACTCAGATTTTCATAGAGAAATACACTATATCCAGCATGTACAACATTTGCTGCCTTCATCCTTACATAAGGTCCACCTGTTTCACAGACTTAATGACCTCATTAATTGAGCTCCACATTATTAGTTTGAACATGCCTCTTTCAATTACACAGAATCAGCAACACGAATGACATGACTGTTGGGTCTGTTAGTTTTCTATTACTCTACTGCACCTACTAGTAAATTTTTTGCCATTTAATTTATACCAAAAACAGTGACTGATCTTGTTAGTGATGTTGGACTGCTATTATTTTGAACACAATTGTAGCTGAAAAAAAAAAAAAAAAAAAAATCCTTTATTAACGACTGCAAGGCTTGAGGTTTCTAGAATAAAATGGATAAGGCAGGAACATGTCTCTTAACTAAGGTCCAGGTGCCGAAAAGCCAAACATATCTGAGTGAGTATTTACTGGGACCATCTTCATTCCAGGAAAAGGGAACCTTCCATGAGCAATGATAAAACTTGCAGGATTTAGGTTTTATTTCTATGGGTAAGGTGGAAATAAAAGTCTGATATACCACTCTCCTTTAGAACTTGGGTTTCAACAACCATGTCGTTAAGGCCAATGACAGACAGTATGGTAACAGGAAATTTACAGCTAAATTTGAAAAAAAAAAAAAAAAAAAAAAAAAAAAAAAAATTTTTTTTTTTTTTTTTTAAGTTACTTTTGGCTAGTTTTTCTTTAATAAAAAAAAAAAAGATATCCATTACCATTCACCACCAAATGCATGCCCAATGTATCTGAAAAAACAAGATATAATTCACCTGGATGTACAAAGTAGTTGTGATGATATGTACGGGTTTACTAACACATGTCAAAGTTGCAAAATTGTGCTTAGGCATTAGGATTTGTTTTACCCTTAGGCGTGAAGGGGTTGAAAAATTTACTACAAATGCAACAAGGAAACTGGTAGCAGAAGAAAACAAAACACAGTACGTGAACAATTAGTCTGGATGAACTCCCATCATGGTACTCACTCACCATAGACTGAAAATATTCAGGGGAAATGCCCTCCAACTCCAAGATTCTGTCTTCTAGCTTTTTAATTCTCTGGTATATGTCTATAGGTACAGGTCGTCCTTGTATTTTTTTTTTATTGGAGGGAAAAAAAAAAAAAAAAAAGTGTGCAATTTAGTTAATATATACGTTAAAAAAAACAAAACAAAAAACAAAATTATTCTTGAATATCTATAAGCAATCCACTCTCAGAATACCAGAAGAAATATATACACTCAATGGCTACTTTATTTGGTACACCTTGCTAGTACCGGGTTGAACCCCCTTTTGCCTTCAGAACTGCCTTAATTCTGCATGGCACAGATTCAACAAGGTGTTGGAAACATTCCTCAAAGATTCTGGTCCATATTGACATGAAAGCATCATGCAGTTGCTGCAGATTTGTTGATGCGAATCTCCCGTTCCATCACATCTCAAAGGTGCTCTATTGGATTGAGATCTGGTGACTGTGGAGGCCATTGGAGTACAGTGAATTCAATCATGTTCAAGAAACCAGTTTGAGATGATTTGAGCTTTGTGACATGGTGTATTATCCTGCTGGAAGCAGCCATCAAAAGATGGGTACACTGTAGTCAAAGGCATGAACATGGTCAGCAATAATACTCAGGTAGGCTGTGGCATTTAAACAATGCTCAATTGGTACTAAGGGGCCCAAAGTGTGCCAAGAAAATATCCCCCACACCATTAAACCACATCCATGAGCCTGAAAAGGTTGGTACAAGGCAGGAAGGATCCATGCTTTCATGTTGTTTACGCCAAATTCTGACCCTACCATCTGAATGTTGAAGCTGAAATCGAGATTCATCAGACCAGGCAATGTTTTTCCAATCTTCTATTGTCCAATTTTGCTGAACCTGCGAATTGTAGTCTCCGTTTCCTGTTCTTAGCTGACAGGAGTGGCACCCGATGTGGTCTTCTGCTGTTGTATCCCATCTGTTTCAAGGTTTGACGTGTTGTGCGTTCAGAGATGGTATTTTGCATACCTTGTAACGAGTGGTTATTGTTTAGTTACGGTTAATGGTGCACCGAAATGAAAATTCTGGTGCCGAAATAGAAAATTCAAAATGCACATGGCTGAAAACCGAAATGTGCAAATTTTTAAAAACGAATATATATTTTTTGGAAGAAAATACACTTTAATAAAAAAAATAAATAAGATAGATAGATCTCCCAATTGTTTTGTAAAATATGAAAAAAGGATGTTACGTCGAGTAAATTGATACCCAACATGTCACGCTTTAAAATTGCTCACGCTCGTGGAATGACGGGAAACTACGGTACTTAAAAATCTTCATGGGTGATGCTTTAAAAATTTCTACAGGTTAGCAGTGTAAAGTTACAGAGGAGGTCTAGAGCGAGTATTGCTCTTGCTCGGGCATTCGTGGCGATACCTCACATGTGTAATTTGAACACCATTTACATATGTGGGCATGGCCTAAGTATGCGTTAACCATAAGAAGGGCTGGACCCGGGAGTGATATCGCTTTGGTCCTCCAAGGGCATAGAGATGAGTGAAGGCTATCTTTCCTTCACTAATCTATGTCCAGCGCAATGATCACTCGATGGTTTCTCAGTTAAGAACTACTGAGCGGCAGCTGATGGTGGCAGTGGCGGGGTTTTTTTGGCACCTGTATCGGTACTTTTTATACTGGCAGACAGCCGAAAGGGGCGTTTTCAGCCGAAATGTTTTGGCCACCGAAATTGTGGTGCATCTCTAGTTACTGTTGCCTTTCTATCATCTCAAACCAGTCTCTCCATTCTCCTCTGACATCAACAAGGCATTTTTGTCCACACAACTGCCACTCACTGGATATTTTCTCTTTTTTGGACCATTCTCTGTAAATCCTAGAGATGGTTGTGCATGGAAATCCCAGTAGATCAGCAGTTTTTGAAATACTCAGACCAGTCCGTCTGGCACCAACAACCATACCACGTTCAAAGTCACTTAAATCCCCTTTCTTCCCCATAGTGATGCTCAGTTTGAAAGTCAGCAAGTCGTCTTCACCACGTCTAGATGCCAAAATGCATTGAGTTGTCGTCACGTGATTGCCTGATTAGCAATTTGTGTTACCAAGCACTTGAACAGGTGTACATAAATAAAGAGGCTGGTAAGTGTACACTTTCAGAGGTTGAATCTGGTACATATCAGATTCCGAGATCAATTTTTTTGTTTAAAAAAAAATAAAAAGACCTAAAAACACCATCTTGCAGATCAGAAAGGACTGTATTATTATATTATTATAAATGACAGACTCCCTTGTCATAAGCAGAGAACCTGATACAAGTTACTTGTCCTGCTGTCACTAAGACATTTAGTAGCAGAAGCATGCTTTTTGCATCACCTTTCAAAACCAAAAAAAAAAAATTCATAATTATAAAAATATACCAAGAAGTAGGACCAAGGGGGGGGGGGGGGGGGGTGGCGAGCCGTAGCTCTATGTGTCTTATGGTCGCTTAGAGCAACAGCTCGGGGATTCCCATGCAGCGATGTTTCCCTGGGGGCATTGCTTGAGCGGGAGTCAGGAATATCGGTGTGGACCTGAAAAGAGAATCAGGGCTGCTCTGTGCAAAACCACTGCACACAGCAGGTAAGTATAGACAAGTTTATTATTTAAAAAAAAAAATTAAAAACAAAGTTTTAGTGTCACTTTGAGTGACCTTCAGTCTATCAGCCTCCAGCTTTTCTGGGTTCAGATGCTGATCTTTCCTACACAGAGACCTTAAAGTAATTAAGTAAATACTTAACTGACTTGTGCAATAGTTTTGCACAGAGCAGCCCCAATCCTCTTCTTCTTGAGTCTCCCGCTGGCGCTCCTGGCTCCTCCTTCCTTTAGAGTGCCCCCATAGCAAGCCGTTTGCTATAGGGGCACTCGTGCAGGCTTGATCCCTAGCTGCACTGTGTGCTTTTGTTGACTGACACACAAAGCATGACTTGTCCCTCCCCCTACTCCCTCCTCACAAGCTGTGACAAACAGCAGCTCCCGCATCTGAATCCTGTGAGGGGAGGAAGAGAAATCAGGTCAGTATACAGGAGGGCTGGGGGGAGCTGGTTACAGGAGGTTTTTTTATCTTTATGCATACCTTCAGCCTTGGAGTAACTTTAAATTACTTCCTGCTTCTGCCCAGGACTACATGTCCCATGAGGCATTGCTCCTCACACATTCACATGTGCAAGTTCTCAAGCACTTACTGACATGTATGGGCAGTGTAGTGAACTGTATGTGTGTTGCACTGCGTATACTGACATTTAAACAAAGAATCCTTTCTGTATGCAGGCCAAATGATCGACTGACCAACTAATCGATAATGAAAAAATCGACAACTATTTTTATTATCGATTATAATTGATTATGTCAATTAGTTTCAGCCATACAACAGTTCTCCCAAAGCAAATTTTGCTTGCAATGTTCATAGCTTTTGTGGCTTAAAAAAAAAAAAAATTGAACAAAAAACAAATACATTTGCTTTTTTGATCTGTTCTGAGGACTGAAAGGAATGTTTAACCGCTTCCCGACCACACTATAGCAGAAATACTGCTACAGGGTGGCATGGGTGTGCAAAATCACGTATATGTACGTGATTTTGCATTTCCAGATAGGGGATGATTACTCGCCGGAGCCTGGTGATTGCCAAGCATCTCCGACGGGAGAACGGTTTGTAAACAAAACAGTTCTCCCCATTAGCTTGTACACACTGTTTTGCAAGGCTGTGCGCAGCACAGCCATGCAAAACAGTGTGATTACAGTGAAGCACACAGACACAGCACTTACTAAAACAGCACACAATTAACCCTTTGATCGCCCCTCATGTTAACCCCTTCCTGTCCAGTGCCATTAGTACAGTGTCAGTGCTTTTTTTTTTTTTTAGCATTGATCATTGTATTGGTGTCACTGGGGATGTCAGTGACACCAAGTCAGTTCCCCAGTGTCAGAATGCCCGCCGCAGTCCCGCTATAAGTTGCTCATCACCGCCATTACTAGTAAAAATAGAAAACAAAATGCCAGTATATATACACCGACATTTGTAAATGCTATAATTTTCACGTAAACCAACTAATTTACACGTATTGGAATTTCTTTTGGCAAAAGACATGTAGCAGAATACATTCTGGCCTAAATTTATGACAAAATTTGAATTTTTAAAATTTTTTTACTGGACACGTTTAATAGCAAAAAGTCAAAAATTTTTTTTTTCTCAAAATTGTCGGCCTTTTTTTAAAAAAAAAAGAAAAAAGAAAAAAGAAAAAAAAAAAAACACAGCACAGGTGATCAAATACCACTGAAAGAAAGCTCAAATTCGTGGGGGAAAAAAAAAAGGACTTAAATTTCATTTGTGTGCAAAGTTGCATGACCGCACAATTGTCAGTTAAAATAACGCAGTGCCTTAACGCAAAAAATGGCCCGGTGAGGAAGGGGGGGTAAATCATCAGGAGGGCAAGTAGTTAAAAGGAGTCCTGCACTAAAAAAAACAAAAAACAAAAAAAAAAAAAAAAAAAAAAAAAAAAAACACCAGCTGCCTGGCTGACACAATAACTTCAATACTTGAGTTCCTGACCTGGAACAAGCAGGAATTCTGACCTTACCCTACAAACAATGGTGGCACACTTTCTGGGTCAGAGTAGAAGGCAGCCAGCCAAGAAACTAACATTGTATTCACTGTAAAGACATATGAATTCGTTGGAAAATAGCAACTTAAGGGATATAAAACCCAAATACAAAAATGTAATATATTGCAGCTTACCAGTACTTAGATGTGGTGGCTGTTTTAGTTTTTTTTTTTTTTTTTTTTTTTTTTTTTAGACTTTTTCCCCTAATTAAAGCGGGTGATCCAGCCAGTAACACCTCCTGTTTTAAGGAGTCTGCATTCTGGATGAGGTAGTAAAGAAGATACCTTTGGACAGTGGCATGGTCAGTCGGGTGAGAGGAAAGTGTTAGACTAGCAGACTGAGATGGACTTGACTAACAAATTGAAGCAAAACTCCAGCTGACATTTTATACCAAATGAAAAAAAAAATGTTGTTGTAACTGTTTATAAACATTTTACCCAAATAAAATAAAAGCTGACCATTACAAGCTCCCCTGTCAGCACTAAATGGTTTGCCTCACCCCTCTAACTGCTACTGTCTGGATAGCCTGGTCTGCTAAAGTTGAAAAATAACAGACTTATTGGCAGGATCACCAGGCAAAAATAAAAAGGAAAGTAAGCTGAAAATAACAGACTTATTGGCAGGGAAAAGCCTTCAAAAGAAAACTAACAGCCACTATATCTAAAAATTTGTGAGCTGTAATTTAAAGAAAATGTGTTTTTGGTTTCAATACCGCTTTAAAGCAATATTGAAAAATATAGCAGATGGGGGTTTAGTACTGTTTACATCTATATGTTTAGGAGGGTGCCATAAGTCATTTTGGTACATTTCATCCATTTTAAACAAAGTGACTATTTATAAAATTGTTTTCCATTTATAGGTCACGTTTTGACTATTTTTCACATTCATACTATATTATTAACAAGCTACCCTCAAGGCTTGTCGAGTGTTTACGGAGCAACTCTTAATAAGTGTAGATATGCATCAAGTACTCCTTATGCTTGCATGCCTTTAATACAAGACCTTTTTGAAAATACAGCGAACTTAGTTAACGGGAAAAAAAAAAAAAAAAAAAAACAAAAAACAAACATTCAGACATTGGGGTAAATTCACGTCTACTAAAAAATTGTAAATGTTCCAGTGGTTTAGTGGTTAGTACTGCCACCTTGGGGTTCCTTATTTGTATCCTGGTCAGAACAATACCTGCATGGAGTTTGCATGTGCTCCCTGTGATTACATGGGTATCCTCTGGTGTCCTCCCACATTCCAAAGAGAAGCTAGATCTTGTTTATTTATTGGATCCTGTCTAATCTGGTTTTGGTATGCGTATGCATATGAAATAGGGACCTCATATAGTAAGCTCCTTAAGGGCAGGGATAGTGATGTGATTGTACAGTGTGTAAAAGTGCATTTGCGGTACTAAAAAAGTACCTGCAGTAAAATACCTTGGGGAAAGAAAAAAAAAAAGAAAAAAAAAAAAAGAAATTCTCCATCAAACTGTTATAATTTCTCCTTTTAGAAAATATTAAGATGTAGGTCAGCTGTCATTTTGTTAATGTTTCAATGATAAAACTGAGTTAGAATAATCACATAGGAGTTTCAGCCCTGAGAAGGAATATTTAAAAATACCAAAACAGTTGGATAATATGAGCTTTTATTAAATGTACTTCTGTGTTTTGACATGAAATTTTTATCATTGCCAGTATCATGTGTAGTACATAAACACTTGATAATTTTCAATAGCCTAATTGATAAACAGCATGGAGAGAGGAGAAAAAAAAAAAGCATTTTAGGTATACTGAAACAATTAGCTAGGAAGTAAAAGTAGCAGTACCTGGCTTTAGCTGTATGTGGCATTCAATATTGTGTAGTCTCTCTTCTATAGCCTGATTTTCACAATCCCGTTGAAGAGAATGCATTCTTGAGCTAGAAGATGAGCCACTGCTTCTAGTCTGGGGCCCATAGGCATTTACAACCTTAGAAACTGGATTGAAGACACAAACTTGGTTATTTGTTTTACTGTTATCCCGTTGTTTTTTATCTCTAAAAGTAGCCAGCAATCTTTTCAATAACAAAACAATGGTTAGTGTAAAAATTAAAGCAGTTATAAAGTTAAAAAAAAAAAAGTGTTATAGTTACCTGCTCTGTGCAATGATCCTCCTCTTCTGGGGTCCCCCTCCGGTGCTCTAGGCTCCTCCTCTTGTGTGTGCAACCTTAGGAAACCACTTCCTATGGTTCACTCCTGAGCCCAGCTGTGTGCAACCATTGACACACACAGCGTGGCTCAGCCTTGTCCTTCTCTCTCTCCACACTGGATTTGACTAACAATTGCAGGAATCATTGGCTAGCGCTTCTCTCAGCCAGGCTTGTGCCTGTTAATAATGTATAGCAGCACAGAGCACTGGAATGATAAGGCAGAAAGTCCATTTCCAACAAGAGAAAAACACAAACAAAACAAAAAAAACAACGGCATAAGGGACATAACTTACATTCAGTAGGATGTGTCTATTGTGCCGATGCCTCTTCTGTCAGTTGAAATCTTCCTCCACCCATGCACCCCCATCCCCCCCCCAGACTGTTGTTGTAATCTTTTAGTGCATTGGGGGGTTAATAGAATGGGCTGTCACAGGTTTTCATCAAGAAAACTCGACTATGCCCATCCTTTCCGTCCAGCCCTGCCATTCATAGAAGCTGTACCACAGCATCTATGGATGAAACAGGATCTATGCCCATCATCCATTCATAAGAGCCGCTTTATTCATAGAAGCTGTAGTACAGTGTTTTTCTGGAATTTGGTCCCTTTCAAACTCTGTACCAGACACACCTTTTTTTTTAATCTTTTATGTTGGCTCTATTGATTACATACTGCTTTCAGCGGAGAATTTCCCCTGCTGATAGCGGGGATTTCTCATCGATAAGATGCAGGAAAGTGTCGGCTCTTTGCCATCAGCAGCAGGCATGAGTCCACTGTTCTTAGGTTTGAGTCACCAGTTGCTAGAACGCTGACGCATGCTGGCTCCTAACAACCAGCACAAGTCTCATTCAAAAATGAAGCATGTAGATCAGATTTTGATGCTTTACCAAGTCTATGGACCACAAAATCGCACCATATCACACCAAAGTAGCGCAGGACCCTTCTCCAAAGTTGCATGGCAGCTGTGCTGCATTTATGTAAGCGGCATCACTGGAAGCAATGTTATTTCCATTGTCATGCAAATCGCATCATTGGGAAGAAGGCAATAGTTACATAGTTAATCTGGCTGAAAAAAGACAAAAGTCCATCCAATTCAACAGTTTAAAAAAAAAAAAAAAAAAAGTTATAATTCTACACCCACAGTTGATCCAGAGGAAGGCAAAAAAAACCCCAGCAAAGCATGATCCAATTTGCTCCTGCAGGGGATAAAATTCCTTCCTGATCCCCCAACAGGCAATCGGATATTCCCTGGATCAACTTTACCTATAAAATGTTAGTATCCAATTATATTCTGTGTATTTAGGAAAGAATCCAGGCCTTTTTTTAAAGCAATCCACTGAGCTGGCCAGAACCAACTCGAGGGAGTCTATTCCACATTTTCACAGCTCTCACTGTGAAGAAACCTTCCCGTGTTTGGAGATTACATTTCTTTTCCTCAAGACGTAAAGAGTGCCCCCTTGTCCTCTGATGACCTCAGGATGAATAGCTCTACACCGAGTTCACTATATGAACCACTGATGTATTTATATATGTTGATCATATCCCCCCTTAATCTCCTCTTCTCTAGAGAGAATAAATTCCATTCCTCTAATCTTTCCTCACAGCTGATCTCCTCCATGCCTCTTATCAATTTGGTTGCCCTTCTCTGCACTTTCTCCAGTTCCCCAAAGTTGTTTGTGAATTGGTGCCCAAAACTGAACTACATATTCCAGATGAGGTGTTACTGTAACCCATGAGTAAAGTCAGAGGGGAGGAAAAGGAGAGTTTAATGTTGTTGGTATCCACTATTTCTAAGAGTAGCAATAGTCTCTGGAATAGATAAGTAGTAGCAGAAAATTCTGCTTTAGTCAGACAGGCCACATGTGCATGCGTGAGGGAGTCTGGATCAAGTGGATGGAATTGTGTCAGCAAGACCTTGCTCCAGAACAAGGAAACAAATATCAACCTGATAAGAACGTGAGTTTCCTTTGGATCTGCAGTGGAATTCTCCCCATTTGTCCCTTGTGCTTCTACTCCTAAGAAGCCTTTAATCCGCCATTGCCAAGTGAGGATCTTCCCTACGTGGTACTTAAAGAATGGATGTGGACTTCAGCGTGTCTGATACAAAGGAAGCCAATTCATCCAGGAGCTCCTGGATAATAGAGTTTCTGTGGCTGTGTCGCTAAGGTATCAGATAACAGCATACAATCAGCTTCTTGGCAGTGAAAGATGGTGGCCGGAAGTACACAGTGGGAGTCTTATAAGAACTATGTCACTTGCTAAAGAGTAATTTCCAGTAGTGATATGAAGAGAAAACCACTACATTTAAATAGGTAAATGCTAAAATGTTATGGAGGGGGACGGGGGCAGCATAAGCAAAGCTTCTGTTAATGTCCAATCATATGAAGGTAGCTGCAGTGAACACCAGGTACCTCCTCCCCCTCAAAGTCAAAGGGAGGAGGAGGCAGATAAGCAGAGCTTCCACTTTTGGGTGGAACTCCGCTTTAAGGCAAATTATATAACACACACACTACAGTGTACAGTTTTAGGCAGGTGTGGAAAAATGCTGTAAATTTAGAATGCTTTCAGAATTAGACGTGCCAATAGTTCATTTACTTTCCATTTTGTTAATAGATAAAAATAAACAGTAGAGAAATCCAAATAAAATCAATATTTGGTGTGGCCACCCTTTGCATTCAAAACATCAATTCTTCTAGGTACACTTGCACACAGGTTTTCAAGGAACTCTGCAGGTAGGTTGTTCCAAACATCTTGGGGACCTAACCCCAGATCTTCTGTGGATGTAAGCTGCCTCAAATCCTTCTTTCTCCATGTATTTCCAGACAGACTCGATGTTAAGATTAGGGCTCTGTGGGGGTCAAACTATCACTTCCAGGACTACTTCTTTACACTGAAGATAGTTCTTAAAGTGGCTTGAAAAGCTGAACGTTGTTTACCTTCATGCATTCTATGCATAAAAGGTAAAAAACCTTCAGAGTGCAGCTCCACTCTCAGCTCCCCTAATACTTACATGAGCCGGACCATGAAACAGCAAATGTGCACAAGGGCCTTCGTTCTTCCAGGTCTCTCTCCCTTCATTGGCTGACACAGTAGCGGGAGGCAATGGCTCATGATGCTGTCAAGCACAACCACTAGGGAAGGAGCAAGGGGCAGGACCAAGCCGTTGCTCTGCAAGTCTTATGGACATACAGGTCCAACTTTGGAGTGAGCATACATGAGTGCCCCCAGAGCAAGCAGCTTGTTCTGGGGGTACTTGGCAGGGGGAAAGACCAGAAGTGCTGGTGGGGAACCTGAGAAGAAGAGGATCTGGGCAACTCTTTGCAAAACCATTGCACAGAGCAGACAAGTATGGCATGTTTGTTATTCTACTTTATTAAAAAAGCCAAAGCTTTACAACCACTTTAATGACATTGGCTGCATGTTTAGGGTCGTTTGCCTGTTGCAGAATAAGGGCCAGTTTCACACCTCTCTGACAATATGGCATGATTGAGAAGTATCTGCCTGCATTTCTCAGCATTCAGGACACCACTGATCCTGACCAAATCTCTAACTCCATTTGTAGAAATGCAGCCCCAAACTTACAAAGAACCTCCACCATGCTTCACAGTTGCCTGCAGACTCATTGTTCCTCTCTCCAGCCCTTTGTGAACAAACTGCCTCCTACTAGGAGTCGAGAGCACCTGCTGCTATTTTTCTGCACCCCAGTTCCTATGTTTTCATACATAGGATGAGGAAACAAAAACATAGGAACTGGGGTGCAGAAAATGGCAGCAGGTGTTCTGAACTGATAAGTCAACATTTGAAATATTTGGCTGGTGGAGGTTTCTTGCAAGTATGGGGCTGCATTTCTACAAATGGATTCGGAGATTTAGTCAGGATCAATGGTGTCCTCAAAGCTGATAAATATAGGCAGATACTTATCCATCATGCCATACCGTCAGGGAGGCATGTGATTGGTCCCAAATTTATTCTGCAGCAGGACAACAACCCCAAACATACAGCCAATTGCTTATATTCAGCATAAAGAATAACAAGGAGTCCTGGAAGTGATGGATTGGCCTCCACAGAGCCCTGATCTCAACATTATGGAGTCTGTCTGGGATTACACGAAGAGACAGAAGGATATGAGGCAGCTTATATCCACAGAAGATCTGGGGTTAGGTCCCCAAGATGTTTGGAACAACCTACCTGCAGAGTTCCTTCAAAAACTGTGTGCAAGTGTACCTAAAAGAATTGGTGCGGTTTTGATTGCAAAGGATGGTCATATAAAATAATGATTTGATTTTCTTTTACTTTCCATTTGTTATAAAAATCTATCAACACTTCTATTTCTGAAAGCATTCTTAATTTACTGCATTTTTTCACATCTGCCTAAAAAACTTTTACACAGTAATATATTATATATAAACAAACACACATACTTTTTTTGCCCTAGGGTTCAAGTTCCTTCATACTGCACCTTTTATGTGGCTCTTGAATCCAGGAAAGGGGGTAAAAACAGCATCAGTTCGGGCACAACTGTTTTCTGTGAAAGAACAAAAGTAGTTGCAGAATACGTAATGGCTACAAAGTGATTTATTGCATGTTGCATTTTGGCAGAAATACTTAAAAATAATTTTTAATGCACAACATGAATATTTTAATGGCAATTTTACCTTGGGCATAAATGAATGTAACAGGTCCTGCACAGGTTTTTAAACTCAGCTGCTATACTCAACCAATCTCTGATGTGGTTAACCACAGGCTAACCGCTCCTGTCTTTCACACCTCTTATGGGTTTCTTGATGACTAGCACCTTCAATCCAGTTACTAAAAACTCAGGGTATAAAGGTTCTGCCACTGATCTGGGATAAACAACAAAAATGCTGTGCCACATAACTATTTGGCACAGCTCTTTGTACGCTACCACCAGAGTAGGACAATGACCTGTGATCTGACCAAACTAATTTATTTTCTTTCTGGATCACGGGTTCTAACACAAGGGGCAGTGGTGTGAGGACCTGATCCCAAAGTTGGGCTTTTATTTAGAATTGCTCTTTAAACTTACATTTATTCATGTAGAAAATAATTCCTAAAACGTCAGTTTCTTACACACCACTATTAACTGCTTCCCGACCACCCTATAGCAGAAATACTGCTACAGGGCGGCATGGGTGCGCAAAATCATATACACACACACGTAAATATATACACATACATACACACACACACACATATATACACATACACATATACACACACACACACACGTGATTTTGCATTTCCGGGTAGTGGGCACGCGCACCCTACCCGCGCCGCAATTCGTGGCCACGGCTGTCAATCACCAGGTCCCAGCTGGTGATTTCCGAGGATCTCCGACGGGGAGGAAAACGGTTTCTCCTCCCTGTCAGCTCTGGCACACTGCTTTGTAATTACACCGCTCCCTAGTAAAACACTCCCAGCACACAGTTAACCCTTTGATCGCCCCTTATGTTAACCCCTTCCTTGCCCAGTGCCATTAGTACAGTGTCAGGTTTTTTTTTTTTTTTTTTTTTTTTAGCACCGAGCACTGGTGGCACTACGAATGTCAGTTTCCCCCAGTGTCAGTATGTCCGCTGCCATTACTAGTAAAAATTTGTTTGTTTTTTTTTTAAATCCCAGTATACATACCGCTATTTGTAAAAGCTATAACTTTTTTTTTTTTCACCAAAGACATTTATTGGATATGTTTTATGGTAAAAAGCAAAATTGTCGGCCTTTTTTTTTTTTTTTTTTACAGGTCAAACAATAAAAAAAAAACATGAAAAATGGCCTGGTCAGGAAGGGGGGGGGGGTAAATCCTCAGGAGGGTAAGTGGTTAAGTATATTTATTTTTTAATAAGTAAAGTACTAATGAAAAAGTGCAATCAGGATATAAATGTAAGGTCCGTGAGAAAATGGCAGGTGAAAAAAAGGTCAGGCTATCCAAAAGAGATAATTCATTTTTGCCTGTATACCTAAGGGGGAAAGAGGAAGGGGGGAAATCATCCATCAACTTCATATTTCCCAAGTACTTCAGTTGTAGGATGGTAAAAGGAAACATTCTTGTGTTGCCAACATTATGGAAGGAGGGGCTAACTTTATTTGCTGGACTTTTCTGCTAGGCTTACACAGTAGACTTGTAAATATGAGTACATCAAGGACTTAAATGCCTGTAATCCTATATTTTTTTTTTTAAACAAAAAAGGGAGTGCTTTATTAAGTCAGTTGTATATTACAAAGTAGCATAGTACAATGCCATAGATAACCATTGAATGGACATCAACAGGTATAGCAGTTCAACTATGCAATACAATGAAAAGTCATACATTTGGAAAGAAGAAGCCAAAGTTTAGCAGATGATAATTATGGACAGGGTGAGCAATACAAGAGGCAAAATTGTGTGTGCCATATCTGCAGCTGAGGTGTGTAGGAGGCACAAAGGGACACTGGGGGGGGAGGGGGAAGAGAGCTCAAGAAGGAGGAAAAGAGGGGGTGTGGATTAAATAAAAGTAATATGGGATAGAGGGGGGAGGGGAGGGCAGGAACGGTGCAGCCTAGCATAATACCCTATCCAGCACCCTCCATCCCACCAACCAAATAAAAATTAAAAATAAATAAAAAAGGGGGGGGGGGGGGGGAGGGGTGTCTAGGGAGACCACACCTGCTCATACTTCCAAGTGCACATTGATTGTATATTAGGCAAGTCTATACAGAGGCAGGGCTGCATCCACTAATGCCTCCCAGAAAGACGACTTGAGGGGGCTGATGAGGACCACTTCTACCTGTTTTTTCCTTTGCAAAAAGGAAATATTGTTGGAGATCAGTAGTTTAGCATGGTGTGAGCATTGATCATCCTCATGGATACCCAGTAGGGTCATTTCCAGAGAGGATGGCAGAGACAATTGCAAGCAGAGATTGCCTGTAATTATTAAAGAATATGTAAACCCAGCTTTTTATTTTCCGGATACGTGCCTGCTGTATCACGTACTTGTATGAAAAAGTATCCTGTTCTTTGTTTTCCCTCCCTTGTGTGAAATCCTTAATGTTTTGCCAGTCCCTCTGCTTTCCTATTAAAAAACTGACCACATTAGACATGAGAGCCAGTTTTCTGGCTGTGCTGGGAGCAAATTCAATGATCAGGCTTGTGCTAACACGCTCCCCCTGCTGCACAGTCATTCACTGGGAAGATCAGTATCCTGCCGTTTCTCCTTCCCCAGCTCCTTATGAAGCGGAGAACAGAAGAAATGTGATCACTTAAAAAAAAAAAAAGGGTGAAAATGGGTGTTTAAATTTTTCTTTAAATTATAAATGAATGGTAAAAAATTTTGTGTATAGATCGATATAAACTGAATGGGTTGTTTTACATGATGAGGGTTTACATATACTTTAATGATCCCAAGGCAAAGAATGTACAAAAGGTCACTTTATAAATTCTATGTTTCAATGCCTTGTTTCCATTTGCTATGGGGGGGGGGGGGGGGGGTAGTACCTCGCAGTACCACTCCTCAACTTCTTTAGCTGGGAAGTCAGCGGCCGGGGGTGCCCCAGCCATGATGCTTTGCTTTATGGGCACAGCAGGAATTATACCCCCTGTCACACTTGGCCGGCACTACTGCCTATCGAAAAGGGACCCATTCAAGTGAGTTCTGAAACTGCCCCATAACCATGCATTTAACAAAAATAATTGACCTAAACTAGCCTGTTTGGTCATGCCCTTGGTGCTCCAAACTATAAAGCATCAAGCATTCTAGGTAAATTATTTCACTGTTACCCCATAAGATGCTTGTGTTTGAAACAAAATATGTAGATTCTCACACACCTATGACACTGAAAAAGGACAAAACAATGGTAACCATTAGAAAGCAACTAAAACTGAAACCATATAAAACAGGGATATTTTGTTTTTAAATTAGCAGTCATTACTTTACTTTTCTAACGTCTATATGCAGCACAAATTACTTCAAGATCAATATGATTTTTAAGTGACAGGATGCCAGTTGCAATTTACAATCATCAATTTGCAACAACTGTCAGGTTCTGCTGCCGTCAGTTTTATATGCAACAAAAATGAAAGTAAGCTGGTGTTTGTGGCGTGTTTGTGCTGCAATTTCATCTCGCTTTTTTTCTGCTAGATGAATTGAAGTGAGCTGCTAGCTGTAAAAAGCCATGAATCAGACAGAGAGCAGGCATTTTGAGTCATATCTCTGGCTGAGATCACTGGGAAATGGACTGACTGTAGGAGCATTTACCTTGATTACAATCAATAACGTTGCAGAACTCCCGGACGTTGTTTTCATTGATCTCTGCTTGCTTTCTCTCCATGAATGCCAATATCCTTCTGTCGATCTACAGGGAGAAAGTATGGGAGGGAAAAAAGTGAGGGCGAGTTGGAATCAGCTGTGTTAAAAACCCCACGCAGCATGCCTGCAGCCCTCTACTTTAGAAACTCGGCTTTGATTTCGGACACTCAATATGAAATTCTGAAAGCTAAAGTGGAGAAGAGCTGTAAAGAGCATTGCGAAGATAGCAACATAACAGCATCTCTAGGCAGTCTCACTTTCAAGGAAAAAAAAAAAAAAAAAAAAAGGACTTATTTCTCTGGGAAGGAGAACTAATAATTACCATACAAAATGCATGACCGACTTTAAATGTCTAGATAAAAGTTTGCATCCCTTCAAAATTAAAATTATTTGGGTAACAAGCAAAGAAAATATTTATATTATCAGAACAGAATCATAGCATAGCAAAACAGCACCTACTGTATAGTCCCTACAATCAGGGAAATCAGTCTTCCACACATTAAGTGGAATGCATGGACTTTATTTTCTATAAATCGTATAGGATTGTTACATTTACTAATGCTATACTGTAAAGGGGTATAAAGAGCATCAGCTATGTGGAAAGAATTGCTTAAAATTATCTGAAGGAAACATTACAATCTCCAACTTAAAGGACAAGCTCTCCTTTGGGAACATGTTACATGTTCAGCTGTTTTTTAGGGTGGAACATGTTCCCACTGCTGCACCCACTCATCGATCCCCTCTCTCCCTGTGACATCAGTACGGGGAGAAGTCCCCTGTACCAACTGTCACTTTTTGAAAGGATGGCAGAGTTTTGTGAATGAATCAACTAAAAGTACCGACATCCTTTGCAGATATCAGCTTGTAGTTCTCAAGGAACTACCACAGTGCTGTCGAGTGCTCTAGTAGTTCATGGATTCTTCCTGTCAGAGTGTAACTGCCTGCCCGTACGATGTATGGGCAGACACCTTACACTGACAGTCTACAGAAGTCCTGCATGGTAGCAGCGATCTCCTGATTGCTGGTGCAATGATTTCCAGGCTCATACAGAAAAAAAAAAAAAAAAAAAAAAAAGGTAAAAAGCTTTTATTTTTTTTTTTTTAAAGTTAGACTTCTTTAAATTCAACCGAGCTTGAAGCAGATATATACTTACTTTTCCGGCAGCCCGCATCTTAAAACTCTTATGTTTTACAGATCTCCAACCACTACAGGTACCCAGCACTTCTGAGTATGTTGAAAACCTGCTCTCCCACCTCAGTTGTTCATCCTAGCTCCAAAGTCACTACAGGATTTCACGGAATTGAAGAGGGGAAAGGTGTACTGTAGTCCAGCAGGTGAGAACTCAGGCAGTGCAACAATGGCAGTCAGATGCAATACCACCACAGGAAGGTAGGAGCTCACTGTAATAATGACAAGATCAGAATGTTGATACCCACCTACCCCACTTACCAAAGGAAATTTGTGGGCAGGTAGGCCTTTTAAGACCTACCAAGTCTCTTCTGCAATAAAACATTCTTAACCCCATCACATGATCGGGAAAGGTCCCGATCGAAAGAGACCGGGACCTTTCCGTGAGAACCGGACGTGTGCTGAGAGCGTGCAGGGCGCGCGCTCTCAGCACATAGGGTTTTTTTGTTTTTTTTTTTTTAATTGAACACAAATGTGCGGCCGCTAAAAGTCTAGGCCAAGACGCCGCACATTTGTGTGCGGCCGGCGTGAAGAGGTTAATGGAGTTTCATGGCCACAACATACACTTTCAATACAAACAATAGTTATCTTTGAAAATTCAATATAGGTTTACTTTAAAAATCTCCTTGCATACTGTGAATGCAGCCCGTCCCCTGGCCATCTCTTTGCTCAACGTCCTGGATTTCCTGCATGCTCTGCAGCTTCTCCTCTGCTGTTTACTTTCAATTTCTAAGGAGTACACATATCCCATAGAACCTTGTTGCCTGCAAGCAGTGACAGCTGTGCTGCCTCTGCCTCCTGAAACCCCTCCTCTCAGCACTTGTCGTTCAGAAGGCAGCTCTGTGAAATGTGTGACACAGCAGTGCTCATCAACCAGGCATAGTAGATACATTTCACAGATTTCAAGGAAGTAAATGTGTGTAATACTTCACACTGTTTTTCAATTATTTCTAGCTTGCTTCTATTATTCTGAATGAACTTGAAGTTTGTGGAGATTAATATAGAATTTTAAATTGACCATAGACATTTTAACTGTTCTTCACCATTTACTTAGACCACAGTTCTGTGAACAGTCTTAGCATGCTTTGCTGCCAGGATGAGTTAATATCCTCCTCACCTGGTTAAAGTGGTAGTAAAGCCTGCCTTGTTTACTTGTACCTATAGGTAAGCCTAAAATAAAGTTTACTCATAGGTACAGTACATACCTCCTAAAACATGCACAGTTTAGAAGATACTTACTATAGTAGCAGCCGATGATGCCACTGGCACATGCACACTGCACTCTCAATGGGCAGCTTGCCGTCCATTAACGGAACCGTGCAGCGGCCATGAATCCTGCACGCATGTGAGGGAGTGATGTGATCGTGGCTTGGCCAAACTAACAGCCGAACCCCACGAACCTGGAAGGAAGACCGGGTGAAGATGGAAGTTCTGTCAGCGCGCTGCTGGAGTGCTTCATTCTAAGCTAAGTCTTTCATAATATGCTAGCACATTATGTCATTTTGCAAGGGACATTTTTTTTTTTTTTTTTTTTTTTGGCAGTTTACTACCACCACTTTAAGAGACAGAAGATAAAATACCAAAAGAAGATTCCAGGGAGGAAGCTCACAGATGTTGCATCTCTGGAGTGAGTATAGTTCTACTTTAAAAGGCCTTTTTACCTGTTGATCCTGTTATTTTTCAACTTCCTTTAACAGACCAAACTGTGCAGCAAAAGTTGGTTGAAAATGGTATCTCAACCATGTGATGGGGTGCTTTCAATGATCAGTTTCTAGTCATTCAAAAAAAAAAAAAAAAAAAAAGGGAAGCCGTGGCTAAGAGTGATTCACAGCCTGAACAACATACACATCCTTGGTAGGGAACTGGAAACAGACAAAGGGTACTAGCTGTAGTAAAAGACAGAAACTACCCTAGGCCTCCAAACTACCTTGTCTTTATTCAAAACTAGAAGGGGCTCCTTGCAAGATAAGGCTGCCAGTTCAGACACTCACCTTTCAGAAGTGATGATTATGAGAAACACCACATTGTGGTCAAGAGCAGAGATTAATGTGTTTAATGGGTTCAAGTAGTGGTTTTTGAAGCTCCGAAAGAAAAAAAAAAAAAAAAAAAAAAAAAAAAAACAGTTTCAGATGATAGAGAGTCAAAAAAGAACAGACAGGGGGAGCTACATAGCAGACCTCTAACAAAGAATAGAAAGGTTAGAAACCTAATCCAAGATAGTTCTGAGAGAGCCAAACACTGGTCCAGACCGAGCTGCAGGAAGGAGAGGATTCGTCACACATAGAAACTCCATTCCACCGGGGTGGAAGACCTGAGACTCACATCTAGTGACATATGCCTTCCACGTCTGATGATAGACCTTGAGGGAACTGGATGTCTTAGCTTTTAGCATTGTAGGAATCACAGACTCAGGAACCTGTGTACCTCAGAACCCAGGCTTTAACAGCCAATGGGATGCCCTTCACCTTGACCTGGAGGAAAACGTATCCAATTTGTTGTTAAAACACACTGCATCCATTACCTTTAATGCAGGTATTGGTATAGCTTCCCACATCCAGGTGAGATATGAAAAATAATGGCGACGTATTGCAGAGCATGCTCTTTCTTCAGGCCATTGTTCGTCATATCCAGCGTGACATCACTTTCACCCGCGAGCTGCATTCAACGCTGATCAGGAAGCCCTGCGAGCCTCCAAAACTGCCCACAAGCGTGCCCACAGCCTTGTCCATCCGGCGCACAGGAACCTGACATTTGGACTGATGACAGCCATTTGCTTGGTGCTACATGCCCTATTACATCTCCTTTTGTGAACATTAAAACGTTGATTTTAATACCACACCTAAATGGCGCTTGTTCGCTCTTTCCCCTTGCAAACTGTATATGCCTGGAATGTGCATGTCTGACAAGGCTGGAACATTAGGTTCTGCCCAAGTCAGGATCCAATCAACATCTTGCCATGGCAAAACCTCTAGTTCCTCTCCAATGACTGATGAATGCCACTACCATGGAGTTGTCCAACTGATATCGGATGACCTTCCAAGTCAGATGGTCCAATGCTGCAGAGACAGCAAAATCATCTGAAGTTTCATAAGGAAAGTTAGAGGTCAACATTCCAAAAACCAAGTTTCCATGACAGGGTACCAAAGATTCATCCCCAGCCCAACAGGCTGGCATCTGTTGTGTGGATCCTCCAAAAGTTGGAAAGGAAGGACTTCCAACTCCAGAGTCACATCCCTGATCCAACAGGCCAGGTACAACCTGATCCTCCATGACAGATGAATTGGTCTATCCAGAGATGAAATCAGCTTGTTCCACAATAACAGAATGTTGCGCTGTAGATGTCTGCAGTGCAAGTGAAAGTCTACCATCAGACTTAGGACTCTTATGCAAAAGTTGGAGATGGACAGCCCCTAGGCTGGGGAGTCAGATGTTTCTCTTGTGGAAGAGCACTCTGGGCCAAGCTGTGTGTAAGACCCAGATACTTCAAATAAGAAACAAAAAGAAAAATTCCTAACAGACAGAAGTGTGCTCCCTAGGTTTCTTCCATTAAAAGATTACTCTTGCCATCATTATCATGTTTGATGTAGTTGTCAAGAGCAGATTTGAGGAGACAAAGTCCCTTGAAGGCTATTTGGAACAAACACTTCTTACAAAAAAGGTTCCATAGTCTGACATAAGTCACCTGAGAGAGCAGATGAGAGACTTCCAGCAAGTCTTGCATGACTGCGTTATAAACATTAGCAAAGAGGGAAAAAGGTCAGCCCACACCGGACAGAGCCAAAAAGGACTCTGAAGATGGAATGGATTCAGATTCAAAGAGCAGAGGATAGCACTATTTGAGGTTGCAGACATCAGTAATATCAGTAGGCGTGCTGCAAACAGCCCCTGAAACCATAAATGTATGAGATGCCACGAGCTTATAATATAATAGGATTGTGCCCCCCCACACCACGTGTCTAGAATAAGTATGTTGCGACCGCGTGGCAGTAAGGCAACTTTTTTAGATACTCACAAAACCTAATAGCAGGTGAAGGTTGGATGGCTGAAGGTGACCAAGATCTCTGTAGGCAGGCAGCTGAAACAGGTTAAAGTTAAGCATTCTGTTTTGCAAGTAGTGCTAGCAGTGGGGAGATGCCTCAAGGCTGTATAGCAGGAAACAGCACAGAGCAGGAGTGACATACTACCCCATGGAGGACATGTGCACTCAGTTCAGTGTTAACCTCTTCCATTTCAAAATCAACAGGAACAGGGAGTAAAAGACACCCAGTGGCCCAAGTAATTGGGATAGCTCCTGATGCTCAGCCTACTAAGCAAGTTGCTCAGAAAGCAAGTGCTGAGGTGATTTCAGTGGCTCTGGAATGCTCTGCACCGCCAGCGTATGAAAACAGAAACCAGCAAGCACCCTTCAAGAAGCTTAGTGTCTGTACAACTCTGGGCTATCCACATAATGTTTATTCCTGCAGTGTCCAGATGTGGTACTCCAAAAGCCAGGCTGACCATGCCATACCACTGCAATATAAAAGACTAAGAACCAGCAGTGATGGAGGGAAGAGCTTTCTTTCAGTTCTCCCACTCCTCCCCAAAGCAAAGCAGGGAGCTAGCAAAAAAAAAATAATAATAATTTAGTCTAAGCATGCTTGTAGTGGAATGATTTATCCTGTGCTGCTGTACAGTTTTTTTTGCCAATGTCCAATTTTCCTAAGCAGCAGAATAACTCAAAGGTGAAAGACTTCCTGTGTCTCTCCATTGACGAGAAAGAAATAAAAGCAAAAAAAAAAAAAAAAAAAAAAAAAAAAAATAGTAGCTGGCCAGGAAAACATTAAATATGTATTAAAATAAAAATATTGTGTCTAAGTGTAAAGCAATAGTATTTTTTTCCAAAATATCTCAGGATGCCATCTTACCTCTGATTTTCCTGCTTGGATCTGTACAACAGCAGGATCAGTATGACAACTGGTGTCTGACACCCCTTTATCCAAAATACATGTAGTTGTAATGCCAGGGTCGGTTTTCATATTTTTTCCCACATTTGCAGTACAGCTATTTGTTCCATCACCTTCTGTGCTGATACGCTTCTCTCCTTTACCAGTAGACAATGACTGAAGGTGAGCTAAAAGAGGCTAAAAATAAATTAAAAAAAACAAAAAAACAAAAAAACAAAAAAAAACAGGCTTATTAATATGAAAGAGCAGATGTGCTATTGCTGGTATTCTAAACATTCAAAAGAAACACCGTGCGAGTTTAATTTGAATCTTTCATATGCAGGAATCAGACAGACAAAATCCAAAGTGCATCCAACCCCAAAATAAAAAAAAAATATATTGCAGCTTACTAGTCCTTCGATGTGGTGGCCTCATATGTTTTCCCAAGTTATGTGCGATGGTGTGCTGCAGTGTCATTGATTGTGAATGGCATCCCAATGCACATAGATTGCAGCACATCAAAAGGCAGGGTAAACTGCAGTACACCAGCAAAAATGCGTAAGGCCCAGCTTTCAGTCTGTTGTGGTACACCAAGCTGCCCATGCTTGGGTGCCCTAATGCAATAAATATTGATGTCTGTTTTTTTGCCTTTCTACAATTTGCCCCCCCCCCCCCTCCCATTGATCTGCCCCAGTCTGTTCCATTCTTACACATTTTAGTTTTTTTAATTTAATCATGACCTAAGACTGCACTAACTCTAGATTGGATATGAATCAGTTGCCATTTTGAGCTCTCAAACAAAAAAAGGTGAAAGAATGCGCCTTCCTTCCCCTCGGGATGTAGTCTATAGGAAGACTAAGTAACAGCAGCAACAGATTTCACGCCAAGGTTACATATGCAGAGCGCCGGAGACATACAGGTTGGCTGCCATTGCTGACTAAATTCAGACAATGCTAGTTGCTTGGCATAAGTCAATGCATACAAGTGATGTCTGAACTTCACTTCCCTATACCTGTTGTGGGTCAGTACACACACACACACACACACACACACACACACACACACACGTTGGGTACGTACTACATTTTCAAACATAAAGAGAGTGATATCAGCTTAAACACATCAGTATTAGTGGGAGATTTTATAATTCTATTTAGTAGCCAGCTTTAGTTGCTAGTGGCACAAAGAGTCATTGTTGTATCTGTTATTCAGTTCTGCAGTCACTCCATATTAATACACCCATTATTATTATTATACTAGAAAGTCAGGGTCTAACTCTGAAACTCCTATACATATCATCTTAAGAGGTACTACTCCAAGTGTATCAGAATTACGTTAAAGAATATCTCCTGTAAACACCTACAGGCATCAGATTCTTCAGAAACAAGAGTGACTATACTTGCAGGCTATTCAATTCTTGGCCATCTTTGATTATACTTATGACAAAGGCCTTATGTATGAAGGCATGAGTATACATTATTTTATACGGTCATATTTTCAATAGTAATGGATCAGCCAGGATTGTAACAACTTTTTCATTCTTTTTGTCAACGCGTAATCCTGGATATGCACGGACACAATGCATATTGTGTTACAAGTGTAACACTTATTGCCTTTCTCCGTCAAGGCTACAGTAGTAGCTGATCTTTTATAAAATTTGAAAACAAGTCTAAATCAATATGCATTCAGTTGTTTTGTGTCCAGGAAAAGAACATGGCAAGAATTTTATTTTTCTAACATGCCAATCATTATAGGCGTTTACAGTTCTGCCAGGTTTCTGAATATTCCATCAACACACTGCTTATCCTTTTGTCTGCAAAAGGATTTTAACTATACCCACAATGTAATTAGCCCATTTATTATACATTTTCCAATATAAGATCAGACATCATCAAGAGTACTATAGCCAGACAGCGAAGTTTATAGCCCACTTGTTCACTACTATTAGTTTAAAGTGAAGAGGCTCTTAAAGCCAAGGCCAAGTTCGCCTGTCAGAAAAAAAAAATAAAATAAATAATGTACATGTCGTTGCAGAGAAAAAAAAACCTTGGCCAGTTTTTTACTGGCAATGGAATTTCCAGGAATCTTCCAGGACAGCTCACTTGAGTGATGATTGGCATTGCCTTCAACAGGAAACACAAATCAAAAAGATTAAATAGGTCCCCCCTTACCTTCCCTCTTCAGTTGGAAGAATTCAAACAAACTCAAAACTCCCAGTGAATAATACAAACAAACCAGGTAAGAATATATCCGCTGTCCTGGAAGATTCTTGGAAATAACATTACTGGTAAGAGGAACCAAGGTTTTCCCCAATCATCTTCCAGGATAGCCCACGAGGGGTGAGGAGGTCAAAAAAAAAAAAAAAAATCATAAGGGGGGGGGGGGGGGGGGGGGGGGGGGGGGGGGGGGGGGGGGGGGGGGGGGGGGGGGAACCACAGCCTGCAAAACTTTCCTGCCAAAGGATAGACCCTGGCTGAATTACATTTCTACCGATCTCCACTCGGTAGTGCTTTACGAAAGCATGGAATGAAGACTGTACTGCCGCTCTTGCAATGTGTTCCCATGAAGCACCTGCCTTTTCAGCCCAGGATGTGGCTAGTGATTTTTTTTTGAGTGTTCCCTAACCTTAGCAAGCAGTCTCTGACCCGAATGCTTGTAGGTTAGACAGATCGTGCTTCTAATCCACCTAGCAATGAAACTTTTGGGAAGCAGAAAGGCCTTTCTAGGAACCCCTGTAAAAAACTTGGAGCGGAGAGGATTTCCTGAAACCTCTGGTAACTTCCAAATACATAATTAGGCATCTCCTAATGTCTAAATAACTGAAACGTTCCTCTCCCTTATTCTTAGGGTCACTGCAAAAACTGGGTAACGCAACCTCTTGTGACATGTGAAAGTTAGAAACTAGTTTAGGTATATTGAGCCGGTTCAGCTTTAAAAATCACTATACCCTCCAAGATAATAAGAACAGGATCTTTGCAAGATAGGGCTTGCTTGTCTGCAAATATCCTACCAGAGGTCAATGCCAGGAAAAAAAAAAATATCTTAAAAGTGTCAAGAAGCTTAAATCTGCCTCTAACAGAGGTTCAAAGGGTGTCTTCGTAAGGGAAGTTAACACTAATGGCAAATACCATGAGGGAACAAACTTAATGACTCAAGGTGTACACTGTACTCTAGCCACAAGAAACCTCTTGAAAACTGGATCCTCAGCCAGTCTCGAATCCAGGAAGACTGCAAAAGGGACGCAACCTGCACCTTAAAGATGCTGGTAGAAAGGCTCTCTTCGACCCCCTTCTGAAGGAAACCCAGAACGGCTGGCACAGAGAAAAAAAAAATTGTTGTCCATTCTTCCTTTGTCAGATTCTAAGTCTTCCAGACTTTGCAGTAAATATTCCTGGTTAATAACATGCAACTCTGGAGAAGAGGGTCAAGAACTCTGTCTGAAAACCCCTTTGCCTTCAGGATCTACCTTCCAGCCTCCAAGCTGTCAGATACAGGATCTGGTGGCTTGGGTATAGGACAGGACTCTGAAACAGCAGATTCCGCCTATCTGGTAGTGTCCACAGTGGTATAAACTGACAGACATCAGAGCAGAAAACAAGCTACTCTAAGCCCACCAAGGAGCTATCAATATCACTTCTGCTCGATCCCTGATGATTTTCCTGATCATCAGTGGGAGTAGGGCAAACAGAGGGAAGGCATACGCCAGTCTGAACTGCCAGGAGCAGGCTACAGAACCGTTCCAAGAGCTGCCGGATCCATTCCAAGGGAGTAAAAAAAAGACTACACCTTTCGGTTGTGTTTGGTAGCAAATATATCTACGTCTGGATTCCCCCATTTTGCAATGATCTGAGTACTTCCAGGTTGAGTTTCCAATCACTGTTGGTCACTTGGACCTTGCTTAAAATAGTCCACTCGGACGTTCATCCTTCCTTTGACATGTACCGCCAAGATGGATGAAAAAAAGTTCTCTGACATCCTCAAGATTTAGAGGGCTAGGGACAACAGGAAGTCTGAGCATGTTTCGACCTGTATGTTGCAGTAAGCCAAAACTGTGGCGTTGTCCAAAGAGACCAGCACATCTCTCGACAGAACTCAATCTTACAGGGCTTCCAAGGCTCTTAACTGTTAGGCATTTGCAAAGGTTGGAAGACTCCTGCGCTTCCTCAGGCAGCCATCTTCACTGGGCCTACCAATCCTTGGGGTGGGCCCACCACTTCCAAAGAATGGCATCTATGGTGACTTTGAAGGGTCACCTTTGTGCCCCTGATCTTCCCTTCTTCAGATTCTGGGGCTCCTCCCACCAAGACAGATCTAGCAAAACTGAGGTGGGGAGTGATAACAGCATTTCCACAAATCCGCACTTGCAATTCCAGGCCCTGAGGAGGAAGTTCTGGAGACACCTGCAGTTCAACTGAGCCCAGGTGACCCCTGGAATAGCTGCTGTCAGGAGGCCCAATACATACATTAACTGGCATACAGCAATCTGAGGGAGAACTTTCATTGTCTGTACTGCAGATACTAATATTTTTTTCCCCTGTAAATAAAATAGTCTGACTTGTGTATCATGTAACCCAGGAATACCAGTCTTGGATAGAAGACTGGAATTTTCTCTATTTATCCACCAACCCAGCTTGGACAATGTCTGCAGGACCATCTATAGATCCTGGAGACAATTGCAGTCTGTTCTGTGAAAAGATCAATAAATCATCTAGGTAGGGGATTATATAAATTCCCTGAAGATGAAGGAAAGCCATAACCTCAGCCATAATCTTTGCAAAGATCCCAAAATGTAGGGCCCTGAGCTGCCAATGCTGTGACCCTTCCTTTTTCTGGATAGCAAACCGCAGGAATGTTTGATGCAAGTGAAAAATCAGAGTATGAGAAACCAGTTTATTATCATCCAAAAACTTTCCCAATGGTTTCCTAACCAGGAAAACATGGAAATAAACCCCCTGGAATCTTTGGTATGCCGGTACTTGCACAATAACCTGTCCTTTTAACCACAGAGAAGTAATTCCTGAATTGTTAGCGTTTTCTCTTTGTCTGTTGACAGATTGGTAATAAAACATGACAGGGCCAGTAGGCGGGAGAACTCCAGTCTATAACCCTCTTTTACAGTCTGGCGTATGTAAGGACTGTGTCAGCTGTAACCATTGTTTGTAAAAAGAAGACAGTCTTCCCCCAACCACCAGCCTGGC